CACTACTTAAAATTAATGGCTACCTATCACTTAAATTCAACCCTGTCAACTGTTTGCGCTTTTCAGCGCACCTCTTCTCTTTCTCTCTCCCTCTCTCTATCTGCCTCTCTCTCTCTCTCTTTTTCTCTACCGCTCCCGAGAGTCCGCACAGCAGCAGCAGCAGCAGCAGTACCGCACGTCTGGGTAACAACGGCAGCGACAACGCGTGGCTCAGGCCGCACAATACTCATACGGCAGCGCGGCGGAATATAATAGTCGCGCGCGTGAGCTCCGCGTGAGCTCGGCCTCCACTGCCCTACATTCGCCCCCCCCTTCCTCCCCGCTCCAGGACACGATCAGTGTTGTCCTCTCCCCGGGGCCCTGCACGCGCTGCACAGCAAGAGGTGGTGGCCATCCGCAGCTGTTTCGTGTCGGGACCGACGGACGCGACGGAACCGTAAAAGTGATGCACGCCGGGGAAGGCGCGGCCTGGAGTGGAGTGTCGCTGTCCCGCCTAGCTCATTTACGATCGCGAGGGCTGCAGAACAGCGCCAGGGCCCCGGACACGCCTACGTCACCTGCGTCCCGCGGCTGGGCGGCAGCAGCCGGTCAGACGCGGTGCTTGCCGGCAGCCACGGGCGCCGGGATCCGGGACGTGGTGCCCTGCGGGTGCACGTCCTTGCGCGGCGTGACCCTGGCCTGCTGCCCTTGCTGCTGCAGCTGCTGCTGCTGCTGGCTGGGCAGGCCGCGCACCCACGCCGAGGTAAAGTCCAGCTGCTCCTCCTCCTCCTCGCGCGCCAGCTTCTCGTCGACGATGGCCGCGTAGTGCTGGATGATGTCCTTCATCTTCTGCAGCACCTTGGCGTCGTCCTGCAGGTCGGACCCCTTGAGGATCTGCTCCAGGATGGGCGAGATGTTGTTGGTCTGCGGCAGCACGTTGCCGTTGCTCTGGCGGCTCTGGGGGCGCGAGGCGCGGCCGCGCGCGGGCAGCGAGGCGCGCTGCGGCGTGCCGCGGGTGAACGTGTCGGGCGTGAGCGAGGGCCGCGGCTTGCGGCCCGCGCCCCACGACCCCGCCCCCGCGCTGCTCGAGGAGCGGCGCTGCGGCGCGAGCTGCTGACCGGCCAGCTGCTGGTGGCTCAACCCTGCGGGCACACGGGACGTGGTCAAGCAACAGATAATTACCACAGCAAAGATGGGGGCTAAAATTATTAAAAACACGAAAAATGTTCAAAAATGCCTAACGCATTTCTTGGTAATGTGCCAAAACTAATTTTATCATTGTTTAAATATATTGAAAGCCTCCATCAAAGTGGGTAAGGAGACTGGCTCCACAAGGCTCCGTGCGTTGTTCCTTGTACCTACCATTGATTCTATGAGCACCGGCCTGCTGGGTGTGGTCAGCGCTCGCCGACCGGGACCTCCCGGAGCGCGCCGGCTGGGCGCTCGGCGCCGTCGTGGGCACCGAGGCCTCCCGGGCCGCCTGCAGACGGCGCAGGCCGCCCGCCACCGCCTCCAGGTCCTCGCTGCCGGACGACCGGCGTCTGCCGCCGGGCCCGGGCGCCGCCTGGTGAGAGAAAGACGGATAAACATAAAAAGGCCATTCGGGATTTTAATCACGGTTTTATTGTCATTCCTCCCCCTCAAGGACACGAGGAGGTCCGGGTAGTAAAAGAACGGGAAAGGAAATGAGGCGTTTATTTCGGAGATGTCAGCTGAGCCGCATGTGGCGCTGACAACCGACCAACCGTCTTCCTCCCGGACACCTGCCCAAGCCCCTATCCGTACCTTCGCGTAGAAGCCGCCACAGGTCGTGCCACCGAGCTCGGCCATTCTCCTGGGCTGGCCGATGGCCTCCTCGATGTCGTAGTCGCCTCGGTCCCTGGAGGTGGCGCGGGACCCTGGCCTGGAGGAGGGCCTGGAGGCAGGCCTGGAGCCCGGCCTGGAGCTCGGCCTCGAGCCCGGCCTGGACGTGGGCGCTGGGATGCCGGTCTGGTTGCGTCGCACGGAGCGCGGCGTCCCCGGGGCTGGAATGTTGGCGTTGAGCACGTCGCCGCTGGCGGACAAGTCGGAGCAAGAGCTCTCCCGGGTCGAGGGCTCCTCGTGGATGTCTGCGATGGGGAAAGAGAAGCAGAGATGTAACTATAGGCAACGTCCCATGGGACTTCCACGGTTCCGGTGAGGCCCCGATACTCACCGCCAGCCTCGTTGTCCCGGACGCCCGCGATGATGCTGCGCTTCTCGCCGGCCGGAGGCGTGGTGGCGACGCCCAGCGACCGGTAGCCCTCGTCGGACCCCACCTCGGAGCCCGAGTCGCCGCCGCTGGTGACCACGACGGTGGTAGTGGTGACGGCGGGCTGCACCAGCTGCGCGGGCGAGGGCTGCGGAGCGGCGTCGGCGGGGACCACATCCACGATCCGGCCGACCTCCATAACGGGCTCCGCACGGGCAGACCTGGCAGGCAGATGGATAAGAGAGCAGGTGAAGGGCGGTCGGGCCACCGAAGGAGGCGCAGGAGGCGCTGGAGGTGCAGGAGGCGCCGCACTCACCAGGCGTGTCCGGGCGACGGCGACCTCGGTCGCACGAGGCGGTGCGCGCGCGGGAAGTCGGCGTCGTCGACGGGCTCCACGATGGCGCTGGTCGTGGCGCTCTTGTGAATCCTCGTGCTGCCGCGGCGAGGGAGCACGGGGCTGGCCAGCGAGTTGGGGGACGCGCTGCGGTCCCGGGGCCGCGCGCGCTGCGCCGCCGGCACGCCCAGGTTGCCGTTGGTGCTGACGGTGCTGACGGCGCTGGACCGGCGAGGTGTGGGCGACCGGCTGCGGCTCCGACTCGGCTCGCCAGGTACGCCCAGCGCCGAGCCGTTCACGTGCGAGTACACGTTGGGGTTCGGGTCAGCAGGCGAGCGTGACCGCGCCCTGGAGGACGCCGTGCTGGCCGCCAGCGTGGGCGACAACCCGGGCCCGCACGGGGCGACGCCGTTCACCTTGGCGGCTCCGGTGGACTGCCCCCGCCGGCCGGGGGTCGGCGATCGCGAGCGGTTCCTCGGCGACCTGGTCGCCTGCTGCAGGGTCGACGACGGCGACCCAGGGTAGCCGGCCACCGTGGGCACCGGGAGGCAGCCCATGTCCGGCCGTCCGCCCGAGCTCACGCTGGACGCCGAAGAGCGTCGGGTGCGCGGTGGCGACCTGGAACACGGCGTTAACGATGTCACGGCCATGCCCGAACCGACTCTGGAGAGCAGGGCGGGCCGGGCGCGGGCTTGTTAACATTCACGTGCGTCTGTGTACCCCGCCCCCGCCCCGCCCCGCCCCCGTGCACTGGCCCGCGTTTTATCGCTTGTCCGAGGCACGCCGTGGATGCGGTAAGCAGTAGCGGTGTCGCGGCCCGACCGGGGCGGAGAACAAAGGCGGACTTTATTTCTAGACACAACAAACACGCTTGTTCGCGCTAACGCAGGCGGCCGCCCGCCAATAACCGTAATGTTTCCGATGCCTGGCGGAGCCCGGCCCGGCGCAGCAGCCTTCTCAGCCTCTCTCACGCACGAGTTTCGTGCGCCCGACTGACGCCCGTTTATCAGAGTGGGGCTGGCGGCGGCGCGGCGGCGGCGGCGGACGGGGAGAGCGCCTGCGCGTGGCTCGGGTAGGCAGCCCCGCCGAGCTCGCCTGCGCTGCGGCGCGCGCGGTGGCCTACCCCGCCGGGCGCTCACCCTCCGCAACAACCGACCGGAGCTGTGGCCCTTTTATAATTTCGTTGCATCGTAGTAAAGATCTACGAAGCAGACCGTCGCGAGTTGGCTCTGAGACTGTGAAAAATATGCCAAAAATGTTTCCGATTCCTCGATAGAACGAAAAAGAGACTTCATCGCGTTCGAGAGATTCCTGCAGCGATAGTTGCAGACGAGAAGTTGAGCCCGTGATTGGGGTCAGGTTAACAGGCCCGTGGGGTTGCCCCGTCAGGCGAGGCAGTCGCAGGAAGGGGAGGGTGGTGGCCGGGTCCCCGTGACCAGTGGCAGTCAGGGAGGCCGAGAGTTTGTCCGCGGGTGGCGCGGCGGTAGTCTCTCCTAACCCTACCTCACCCCTCTCCTAGCCGACATGGACGGAGTCAAACCACAGCCCTCGCCACCCCCACACCCCTCCCCCGCCGCGCAATAAAGGTTCACCCAGGTTCACTCACCTCTCGTAGTGGACATGCGCGCTGTTGAGTTCCAGCGAGCCCTGGTTCTTGAGCACCAGCTTGGCGGACACCGGAGCGCGGTGGGCTGCATTAACAGAAAACGAATAATAAAAAAAACAGATAAATAAAGTTCAACGGCGACGCGCCGGAGTGAGTAGGCTCATCGCATGATATGCAAAATCAAGGTCGCGTCGTCGTGCGAAAATAATAAAAACTTCAGCCCGTTTCCTACCCCCGCGATTATTAAAAGCGTTTCCCCCCTTAAAATTTTAATAGAGTCACGAGGCGCGCGGTGCGGTGCCGTGCCGCCGCCGCGGCGGCGGGAGGTGGAAAGAAAAACAACTTATTCCAACCGCGTCAAAGGAGCGGGAGGGTGGAGGGGAGGGGGTGGCGGCGGTGCGGGTGTTGGGCGAGAGTGCATACGCCGCAGTACGCGGCCGCGGCGGAGCCCGCCAATGCGGAATAGAGACCGACCCGGTGACACAATGCGCAGCGGCACATCTGCAGGTGCGCGCCAGCTGAATGGGGCGAGAGGGGCCAGACCAAAGCTAGCCAGGGAGGGACGCGCGGCGAAAAGATATTCACGCGCGGGGATTTAATAGGGAAGTGGGTTTGTATTGTAGAACAAGGCGGCGGCGGCGCGGGCGTGGGGGCCCGCTCGCGCGGCCCAGCGGGGAGCGAATGGGACCGAATGGGACAGTAGCCGTGGCTGCAGCAGCTCTACGCCCAGATTACCTACATAACGAATGCGACCTCGAATATGAGTGTGATTCCCCCCCCCCCCTTCCTGCGGTGCAGAATGCCCATACCATGTGAAAAATATCGATGTTCATTTACGGTAATTTTTTTTTAATTTAGAAACGATATGTAGTAGTAGTACATTGCTTGTCGAAGAATTCCAAAGTTGCAACGGTGCCACATGAATTTTTCTATTTTATGATTTCAAACCACTTCTTATATAAAAGTTTTCCCGTGTAACCTGGAGCACATGAGGCTCTATATATATTGGGTGGAAGACAGACCAGGAAAAGAGGGGTTTAAAATGTCCCATGCCGTCTGGATGTCCCTTTCTAGCTCACAACTGAGCGTCTGCGACGTGGGACTAGAAATCTGTTGCATATGGGTCATTGAAATCAGTGTCGTGCCGCGAATGGAATGGATTAGAATCGTCCTTTCTGGCGGCGCAGTTACGAGACGAAGAAGAGAGGGAGGTGGGGGTAAAAATGAGAAACAACTTTTGGGATAATTTCTCCCCATCGACGCGGAATGCAAATATGTTTCATTTTCTCCGCCTGGGTCACGGGGTCGTGCACGGCGGCGGCGGCGGCGTTGTCGAGCGAGATTTTCATATCGATATTCACGACGATATGCGCGAAACTAGCTCGCCCCAATCCAAGTCATTAGCCCAATAAACGGGAGGCTCAGATCGCCGGCGCGGGACGGGACCGACCGCCTGCCAGATACCCATCGGCCCGGCCTACGCACTCGCGGCTGACGAAAGGCTACGGTGATCGGCAGCGAAGGTCCACGACAGACAAAAAAAGAACAATTTACACTTCAAAATTTGATACAGCACCATGCACAGCACAGGGGGGAAAACAACTGAAATAGAAAAACAAAGGTACCAAAACTAATAAAAACAGTTAGGAATTATGAGCAATTGTTTTTCTAGGTTTCAAAAAGCTCTGGCTATGGTATCTTTATGAGAATGCATTTATTGATGAAGAACCCAAAGGGCTCATCCAGAAAGTACGTCAGTCATTTCCCGATACGAAACTGCCAAGTTCATAGCCAATGCAAGTTGTCATAGCGCCTGGTAGGTAGGCAACACGTTCCCTGCAAGTGCACGCGTGCACCGCGGGGTCGCCTAACGTAAGACCCACAGGCGCCGAGCTCCCGTAATTTGCCGAATGAATCTGAGAAAAACGAACGTACTGTACTTTCTGTACGATCCCAAAGATGTTCAACTTTTTTTGGATTTTTTTCGTGTTTTACGAAATAGACGGCACAAACGTTGCCCACCATCTTTGTTTTTCTAGTGAATGCAAACTTCGCACAGGCCGGCCCTCTGGCCCATATGACATTTCTTAGGCAAGAGTGGGCGTGCACTGATACTTCAGTCAGTGCAAATTTGCTTTTCTGAGTTCCCAATGAACTTAAACTAAGCGACATCCTGAGGCATGCAGAAACTTATGAAGGGGAGAAAAAAAGCAGTGCGCAACGTGAGGTGTTTCAGGACGAAAGCTGAAAGTAAAACATCTCGACAAGACCTGAAAGGATCTATTTACATTTGAAGTGCGGCTTTTGAACATTTCTGCAAACGATGCAAGTTTGTGATTCGAGTTTTGCCGACTCAAAGTTACACACAACAACATGCCGACGAAGCAAAACGACATAGTCGCGTGAAAGTGCGTATGGGAGTGCGACGACAACACGCGTGCCCGCGAGTGCGAGAGCGTGTGTGAGAGAGAGACAGAAAGAGAGTGAGAGAGGGGGAGAGAGAGAAACAGGCGTGCCTCAGAAGGAAGACATCACTCAAACCGCTAACTATTGGTGCTACAGCTACAGGCATGCTGCAAGAAAAAAATAACATTCAGGCCACTACTCCGAAAAAGGATAAAAAAAACATATCAAAAGAGCAGCAGCAAACGGAAAAAATCAACTTTAGGAGCGGGAAAACAAACAACCGGAAAATACGCGGCAACAAACACCTGGCGGCGCTACGAGGCGCTACTGACAAGCCGGGTGGACTTACAAAAACAAGAAGGCACGTTGTGGTGGCAAGGTCTCCGCACTGCAACAGGGAAGGGTTGGCTTAGGTCAGGGTTCTACGTGCGCGTCCGTTCACGCCAGTCATTCACAACTGTTTGGCTGGAGGTGAGGTGTCATTCGCGGGGTCAACACAAAGGACACAGTGTATGCGGAACGCATCATGAAACGTACCGTAATTACCGTACACACACAAACGTCACTAAAAATACACGAATAGCAGAATGAGAAGAATATAACGCTGGCAAAGATATAGACCATCCCTTCTGGTGAAACACTGCAAAACATGTGATTTACCGCTCATTGTATGCGAGACTATCGCAAGTGGTCGAGAAGTGATCAGAGCAGCTTTACCCCCCTCCTATACCCCACACATATTAAATCAACGCAAGAGATCTGCCTGCTGCAGCAGGCGCGCACTCCGACCCAGTCTGCGGCGCGGGTGAGCAAATACGTGACGAGGACCAGCTGGTGGGGCCTGGCACGGGGGGCACCGGGGGGCACCGGGGGGCACCGGCACCGCAGCGATGCAATCGGAGAGCTAATTGCAGGCACCTGCAGGTAGGATGCCGCCGGCGCGCGCGCACACACACATGTGCACGCACGCACGCACGCACCGGCGCGAGCTGAGGCGGGAGGTGAACAAAAGTAACCATCAGAGAGAGGCGACTGCAGCAGCGAGGGGGAGAGGGGGTCGATGACAACGGTGCTCGGCGGCAAGTTGGGAGAGGTTAGGCCGGGTTAGTCCATCGCGCGATACACCGAATCCAAATAATACTAATTAATGTGGTATACTCACAGCTTCTGCAGCGACAAGGGTCGTGCTTGTCCAGGTAGTGCGACAGGGTGTCCCAGCCGCCACCCACACGCACCATCACGTGGCTCCTCAGCACCTGTCGACATCAGCGTTTAATCTCATTATTACGAGTCTAGAGAGTGTCAAAATCCCCGTTCCCCCCTCTTCCACCCCAACTTAAAATAATAAATGGAATACGATCCAAAAATGTAGCAAATATGAGAGTGCGCGCGCGCGCGCGTGTGTGTGTGTGTGTGTGTAATAGGCATTAGGTGCGCCCCTCCCTCCTTCCTCCCCCCGCCAATCGCGATCCTAATAAATTGAGTGTTTTGCCCGGGAGCAGGCGCCTGGCCGCCCGCCCCGCTCCATCCCGCCGCACGGCGATAAGTGATCTCGCCAATTTGTCCGCGCGCGCCAAGAGGCACACTGCCGCTGGGATGGTCGGTTACACTGTCAGAAACCTAGATATGCAGCTGCATTTTTCAGCGAGCAGAAGACTTCACCTTTCTTCAAAGACAACAAGATTTTCGGAAAAAAATATTTTAAGTTCGATGCATCAAAAAATTACTGGGGATGAAATGAGAGAGATCTTTTTCATACCCGACAAAAATTTGAAAACATAGAATTATTTCCAAGTTTTAATGAAAAGTTAATACTAGAGTGCAATTTAATTTTAAATTTTTTCGCGTTGATGATAATTTGAGAAAAGAGAAATAAGTTTTCAAAGGTGGATCTGTTTACAGCTGCGCAAAGGCCATCGTCGCAACCGAAGCTGCAGGCGAGCAGGCACACACCAGGTCGACGAGGGTCAGTCTGGACCGGCCAGAACCTAAGGCAGATGCAGCTGAAGTCGAGCCTGGGGTCAGCCAGCAAGGGACCAGCAAGGGGCCGACCAGGACCAGGGGCCAAGCCGGCGCCAGCCAGCCAGCCAGGCTCAGGGGCCAACTACTGGGACATGCGATGGGGCGGCAACAACTTCATTCTCAGAGCTAACTAATTGGATGTAATAGCGCCGTGAGCCGCACGCACTAAGAGACTCCCCCCCCGCCCCTTCTCTCTGTCAAGCACATACACAATGTCACAATGTGGCTATATATGGGGAGACCTGCCCTGCTGCCCTCTTGTTTCACCGCCTAGGAGGAGGAAGAGAAGGACAACGACAAAATGAGCAATGTGTGTGTTTCTGTGTGTGAATGTGTGTGCGTGAGAGAAAGATAGGGAGATGGGGGGGGGCGGAAGGGATAGAGCAGACCACACGACCGAGATGAAAATGGTGATCGACGTCCAAAGAAATAAGTAACGACGCGACGCGGCCGCTTTGCCCCGGGCTTCCTCCTCCTCCCACCACCCGCCTTCTCTCCCCACACACGCCCTCTGGCCTTTAATTACTTGCAATGCCCCCTCCCCCTCCCCGCACACGGTAATGCTCTGCGACTTATATTATCGATATGAACGTTATTGCTGCAGACGAGCCTAACGGTGCGCGGCCGCGAGCAGCTCGATAATGAAGACAAATAGAGAGCCGAGGAGCCCGACCAGAGTGTGACGACGAGAGCGACAAAACAGAGGAGGCAAAGAGAAACGAAAATCCGCGCCGATAATGGGGGAGCGGAAAAGCGTAGTGAGTAATCTTCCAGTCGAGGTACAAATAATAAATCCATAAACACACGGTGTTTACCAGCGGCTTATGCAAACGCCCGTCCCTCCGCGTCTCGACTGTCGTCCCGGGCCGCCGAGCGCCAAACTGGGCGGCACGGTCCAAGAAGGCAAGAGAGTGTTGGTCGTCGGAGAAGAAAAGGTTGCGCGGTGATTTTGTCGACATTTCCTTCCCGATCGTGAGTAACGACTCTGTGCCGCTGACCCGGCCGCCGGGGCGGAGGAGCAGCCCGCTCGGTGGCGAATTTGGAGGCGGTCTGCTTGCTGCTAATGCCATGTGATCCCTCCCCGATGATATGAGATCGCTCGCCGCCTCACGTATATAGGACAAGGGGGAGGGGGAACCTATACCGTGTTGTTTGCAGACTGCAGACAGAGGGACGATTCGCGAATTCCGCATAGACACATATTATGTAATAGGCTTTTTGGTCGCTTGAAAGTTTTGGTCGCGTACGGAGCAGCTGCTTTGCCTAAACGAATTTAGCTCTGGAGGGATTGCGGTTTTATTCGCTATCAGTTTGCTATGCAGCCCCGACAAACAAAAGTAAAATTCCATCAGTTTATTTCAAAACAACGCGCGTGTCGTCGAGGGGTGGGTGGCGGTTTTACACCGGCGGTAAACGGACGGCGACGTGTATCCCACCGCGGCGATTACATCGGGGCGCGGACGGCGACGACGAGGGCATCCCGGGCGCCCCGGTCAAAGTGGGACGGCCAAACCTGGAGAGCCTGGAGACGACGATGTCCGCGTCGCCCCGGGGGTCTCCGACAGGGCCTCCCCGAGAGCGACGCGGCGGGGTCGCAAAGGTAATTGCAGAACCCCGAATGTGGAGCGGCGGCGAGTAGGCGTGACTGCCCCCTCCCCCCCGCAGCCGGCCGTTTGACGACCGATATGTATTTGCTGGATGGCAACATTAAAGAATGGAAAGTGAAACTGCTGCACGGGCGTGGCGTGGCGCGGCCGGGCTTGTCCCCGCGGCGGCGCCACGCTGGTAGTTGTGGACCGCGGCGTGCAGGGGGGAGCGGGGCACTCTGTTGCACTCTGTCCACCTCCAGCCGCCGCGCTAGCCGACCTGTGACCTTAAGGCTATCCTTGTCCTATCCCCTGGCGCGACCAGCGTTAGGACAGCCTCGCCCAGCCACTGCGCGAGAGAGACAGAGAGAGAGAGCGGCGGGCAAAGCATGGGGGCGCCAAACAACCGATGACGACAAAATGTCATCTCCCCGCCCCGGTCGGCCCGGTATGGTGCGTCACGCTTGCCTTTGACGGGGAGCTCACCTCACTTCGTTTTCCCACAGCGACAACAACAACGTCAAGCCCCGCGGCCGAAAGGGCAGGGAGTGGACGGGGGACGCGCAAGACCGGGCAGGGATGACAATGTCGATGATGCAGATCGGCCGGCGTGGGCAGCGACAGGGGAGCGGACGAGCTGCACGTTCCAGTGGTGCCTCTAGTGCCCCCTGCACCCTGGCCAGCCGGCCGGCCGGCCGCGGCCCAGGCGGGCATGCCTCACTTGCAACATTGTCCTCTATCGGATGAAGTAATAACAATCGACCCTAAATGCCACGGCAGCACGGCCGGGCGACGACCGTGTGCCCGCTTCAGAGCACTGCAGAGCGAGATCTCGAACGAGAGCGAGAGGCTCGACGGTGCTTGGGGCTCGAAGGTGACGAGCTTTTCGTGCGTGTGCCTTCTGACGCAACCAACAACAACGGCCGCGCGCTCGATGGAGCCAGGCCACGGAGGCTCATGATGGCGCTGATGCACGGGAAGCCATCACTCGCTCCAGCAAACGGCCATCACGCTATATTATGCCGTGATCAAGGGAATGAACTAGATCGCGCCAATGTCTCTGCGTGTGTGTTGGTGTCTGCGCTGAGAGGAGAGGCGTTTTGTTGGCGTGCTGACCGCAGCGCAGAGCGGCGGCCAGGTTGTTTGTGAGTTCCGGCCAGCATCGTGGAGCACCTCATGTCACTGGCGTACTCTGGCCTTTTGTCATTTCGACACGTTTTGGCACCCAACTTTTCCCCCCTCACACGTCTGCACTCGGGAGGTTGTGGTGTACTTACCCGCACGAAGATGAGCACCTTGGTGTCGCCGATGCGGTACTTGCCCTCCGACACCCTGATCATGGGGAACTGCGTGGGGCACTGGCAGCGCTCCACTAGTTCTCGCACCTGCAACAACAACAACAGCGCGGTCAGAATGCGGTCTTAAATCATCCCCCCGCACCACCGCCACAACCGCCGCGGCCGAAAGTGAAATTTTCGCGCGCCGCACTTGCGCGGGCAGGCGCGCGCGGGGCCGCATGCGGGCGGAAGAGAAGAAAGCAAAGCGGTCGACGACAACATTTTGTCGTGCGAGCGTCAAAGACATGTTGCCGCATCACAGGACAAAAACTCAACCAAAAATAAATTATGAACAAATCTTAAAAGGCAGTGATTGTGCTGTTTTGATGGATGAAAATCCGAATGCAACAATCAGGACATTTAAGTATGGTTTATCACTTTGCTGCACCTGGGCCTGGGTGCTCCCTATAGGGATTGGAAAATCCAGAGCAAGAGTGGTTTAGCACTGAATCTATCGACAAGAGCGCAGTAATGTCACCTAACGGGTTAAGGTCTATCGTATCATCGGTTAAGACGCTTCCAGAACGGCGGGTCGGGCGCGCGCAGGCCCGCCACCGCTCAATCCCAGTCGCCCCGCGCGACGAGGCGCACGCACACGTACCGCTCAAGAGGAGAGATACGGCCCCGATGGGCGACACGACAAAACGGCGACGTATTGATATTGAATGATGTCAGGTGTTACGATAGGGAAACGGCACGAAGGCGGACGGGTGTGTGTGTGTGTGTGTGTGTGTGTGTGTGTGTGTGTGTGTGTGTGTGTGTGTGTGTGTGGATGAAATGGAAAGCCGTGGCCCGGCAGGGGGGAGACCGGGCGGGGCGGCGGACGCGGTCGTGTCAAACTCCCTTCTACTCTCCACGACACACAACACACCACCACCAGACCTCCGTCAAACAAGTAGTGAAACTGCGCCGCAACAGCCAAGCAGGCAGCCCTGCCCTGGCCTGCCCGCCCCTGCCCGGGCCGCCCAAGTACCCCGCCGGGCTGCGCCACGCCATGCGCGACTCGTCAAGTGATTTTTCCGGCACGCAGGGCTATAGCGCTGCTAGGCGAGGAGGCTGGCGGGCGGGCGGGTGTGTAACTGTTCAACATTCTCGCGCAGGGGGTTCACGGCGGCTGTGACCCCGCCCGGACCCACCCGGCAGGGCGTCTAGCGACAACCTCAGCGCTTGCAGGACCAGCGCGGGCGGCGGGGCGGCCGGCCCCGACACCAACCCGAGCCGGAACTAACGAAACAGCGCCGAGGGGAAGGTGTGGCGCCTGCTGCTTGTGGTGGTGCCTCAGAGCGGACAACCACCTCTCTACGTGCAAGCGAGCAGTCGATCTGAGCCCCGGTCCTCGGTGGCCCCTCGCTTGAATATGCCAAGTATCGAGAAATTCAGCGCCAACTCAGCAGCCGCCACACCGAACTAAGTTCACGCCGGCTCACGCAAGAGAGAAGTAATTGCAAATAAAAGGTCACCTTTTCAACCAGAGGTAAGTTGGTGCCAGCAAACATTTTGCTGCTATAGCAGAACTGTTGCCAAAACAGCAAATAAGTGGGAAAATATTCTAGGCATATGTTTTACGCAATGTCAGCAGCTCGTTTTCAGATGTTTGAACAAATCCCCGTGTTTTGCGAGCTGAATTTAAGTGCCGCGCGATTTTTGCATTCAGGGTGCCGTGGAATGGAGAAGATCATACAAGACAGGGTTGGTGGTCCGGCTGGTTGACTCGGTGTTGCACTTTCGCGCCCCGGCCGAGCCGACCTTGCCGCCGCTGCCGCCGGCCGGACCTTGGGCCGGTGCACGCCGCGCTGCGCTGTCCAGGCCCACGGCCTGCTTCGTCTCGTTCCGCGCCATTTGCCGCCGAGACAAATTCCTTTAAACGCCCATCGTGGCCGCGACGCTACCCGGCGGCGCCGCCAAGTCGAACCCCGCGATCTGCACGGGGCCTGCAGCAGCAGCAGTGAGGCCCCGCGGGCGAGGCGAGCCGAGCCCGACCAGCTCGATCCGCGCTGGGAAATATATCGAGTAAAAAATGGTCCACCAAAATGTTTGACCTATGAAAGGTGTAAATTCTGGAGAATCATTCAGAGTCTGTGTGAATGGAGCTCCAAAGGACCCTGTCCATTTCAAAAATTCTATAGAATAAGAAGGAGCGTTGGTCTGAGACGATCCTGTTCACAATAACCGCGGAAGTGAACGACTTGTGAACATACTTGGCCAACTTAATTTTAGAAAGTGTACACAATTCACACACATACACATCCGCTTATTGTGAAAACTCTTTGCCATAGGAATTGTTTATTTTTAAAAAATCAAAAAATTCTTTGAGTGTATGGCAATATCCAGCAGTGGCCACCCCACCGCGGGTCGGACAGCGCCAGCCTACGCCGTTTGTCGCCTCATTGCCCCGTGACAGGTATGACTTGCGGGTTCAAGCCCGGGCCAGGCCGGCCAGGCCACGCGAGGCCCGCCTCCACGCGGCCGCATTTCATTTAGCACGCTGTGTGTCCAGGAGGGGTGCCGCCCCACCCATCTGTCAGCGCCACGGGGTCCCCGGCCAGCAGACAACAGACACCTGCGACCGAGTCCGCAGCGCAGCAGAGTGCGTCGCGCGTCCTGTCGCCGATTGAGTCGTATGCATGCAAACAAGAAGGCGACAGTCACCGCGCGCGGCACCTTCTATACTACTACTCCCGTCAGCGGCCCCGGTCGTCGGGGCGCGGCTCGGCCGCGGGGACTTGGCCGGGCCCGCAAATAGGAAAATTGTATCCTAGAGGCGCTGCTGCGGCTGCTGTGCTGTGCGTGCAGCGCGCGTGGCGCGCGAAGGCGTCCCGCTCCACCCCGCCGGGGTCCAGTCGGCCTCGCGCTGCCAAGACGCGCGACACCCGGCCGCGGCCTGTCGCTAATGTCGATGACGGCCTGATTTATCTTCCCTTCCGCGCCACGCCGCGCCACTCTCTGCTTTGGGCCCCGCGCGCGCCCAGCCCAGCGGCGTAAGAGTTTTGCTTTTGCAGGGGGCGGCGGCGGCGGCGGGAGGGCGTGCGGGACGGCCCGTCCGATTGAGATCGCTTCGCTTGTCGACAGGCCTCACCCGCTCAATCACTCACGTTCACGCACACACGCACACATACTCACACGCACGCACGCGACACAATGTTGACACACATGGTGGCACTTCTCCAGCGGCGCGCGCCGCGTGGGATCGGTAGGAAATATATAACGATCATCCCGATCCTCTACGGCGGTGTGTGGATTAGACAACTAATGAGGATGAGTCAGTCGAGTCTTCTGCAATGAGGGTATGGCGTCGTCGCGTCTCTCTATGAGCTGAGGTTCACTCCTGGATTACCACTACATCATCCCCAGATTAGACCTGGATTACTATACCTCCGGATTAAACCCCACGGATATTGACACATGACGTACCGGATTACCCAGCATGAGTCGTTTCCTCCTTCGACCATGAGCGTCCGGGCTACGACAATAATACACGCGGCGTGTGTCATCAGGCAGATAAGTAACACGACACGGGGACGGATCCACTCGAATCCACTCGAATTAATCCGCGTGGCGGCCCCCGCCCCGCCTCCCTCCCGGCGGCCGGGCCGGCTCACTCGCGGTTCCTGTAATCACTCTGTTCCTCGAGTGATTCAGCCGCGCCGCGGGATGTGCAGCGTGGGCGTGGAGCGCGCGAGGGGAGCCCCTTGTATGGAGGTGTTCTTTAGAGGTGTTGTTATTAGCAGATGATACCTTACAACCTTACACCTACATTAAACATAACTAACTATACATGAGTAATGTAAGGTGTCATTGCTTTTACTCTCGAATAAGAAAAATATAAAAGAGAACGAATAGCAATCTCTCCTATATTGCGCTAGGCGGGGTCGTGAGGCGG